AGTGGGTTGTGATCTTTCTTTGTCTATTTATACTGAGAGGGTGCAGGTTTGCATTGCCTCTGATTTGACAGTTGGGGTAGGCATTTTTCCTTTAGTGACTAGCTGGTGATTAGCGTAGTCCCTTTGTTGTTTATTTCTTGTTCTGAGACAAAGTCTCACTCTGTGGCTTAGGCTGGAGTGCAGCAGTGCAATCATGGTTCATTGCAGCCTTAAACCTTTGGGCTCAAGCAATCCTTGTATCTCAGCCTACCAAGTAGCTGGGACTACAGGTGTGTATCACCAGGCCCAGATAATTTTTTGTATTTTTTGTAGATACTGGGTTTTGGCATATTGCCCAGGCTGATGTCAAACTCCTGGGCTCAAACAGTCCTCCTGCCTCAGCCTCCCAAAGAGCTGGAATTACAGACATGAGCCACCACACCCAGCCTTATCCCCTTTGTTGATGTAAGTGTTGATGTCAGTTCACAAGTCCAAGTAGAGACAGGTTGACCTCAGTCCAATGTGGAAACTGCCTCTCCTAAGTGCCATCACCCGAGGAACAGTGTGCCTCTTTCATTGTTGCATGATGCAAACAGCAGAAACATTTCTCCCTTCCTCTTTGTGTATCCACCTAAGACAGCTGACTCTCATCATGCACCCTCTCCACCTCGCGTTAACTCTCATTTACATCTTTAGCACCAACTGGCACCTTCTTTCAAGGTCTTGATGCCTCCCTGTATGCAGAACCCCTTCTGGTTGCCAAAACCAGCCCTTGACTTTTTCTGGATGGTTGTATTCTCTAGAATGTTCCCAGGTCACCATTTTCCTCAGAAACTCACATCCAAATGTTTTAAAAGCATTCCTAATTCCAATTAGATAAAATGTTACTCGAAAATATAAACATATTATTGCTTTCCTAAATTACATCTCTAGAAATAAAGTATGTATGGAATTTTGTGCTAGTATAAAAATAGATCAGGATATGGTCATTCAAATGTATAGCTTCTATAATATTCATTAAATACTCACTTCTGATCTATTAGCCTCATCATTCATCTGGTTATTGTAAACTGGCTCATATTATTAGCTAATTTTTCATAATAGTAATGTTAGCTAACATTTACTAGGTGCCTAGTGTATGCCAGGCACTGAAGTGTTTTGTATGTATAAAGTTATTAAATTCTCACAAACCCTATGAAATTTATTGTACTCTTACTTCCAATGTATTGCAATATAGAAACCAAGGCCTTAAGAGGCTAACTTAACCCACAGAACCACAGTCACACAGCTAGCCAGATGCTTTATTTCCCTAACTAAATAATAAAGGACTCGAAAACAGCTCATGCCTTACACGTCTCTGCATCCCCAACTGTGCTTGGCATTCAGAGCCCCAGTAAAGAAGCAGCTATTGAAAGAAGAAACAATGTTTTATTCATGTTTGATCCCTACTCTGCAGTGCTATAATACAAATGTTTCAAAGATGTTTTAATCATAAATGAAAGCATGAGATTTAGAAAGCAAATCCACATACTATAACCTAAAGCTAGTTACAGAAGACTTGACTCTCAGCCACTAACCTGAGTTCCAGGGATCCAAATATGAATAAAATGTTGCCTCTGTCTGTCAAGAACAAGTAGTCTGAAAGGACAGCCTATACACATGCAATGAAATATAATAAAATGGTATATATTGCTTTTTAATTGTGTCTGTAAGTGTTATGGGGCCACATATGAAAAAAATATATTATTTTTTCCATAGGAACACAAGGTTTTTTCTCTCATTAATCAACAGTAGAATCGGATATAGAAAGAAACACTAGAGTTTTTTATTAGAAAGTTTATTGCATTAATCTATAAACTCATTTGGTGATATAAATGACAATGTAGACTAATAATGATGAAAGTTTATCATCTTTGGAAAATAGAGATATTTCAACACCGAAAGCATTGTTTGTTTGTTTGCCACAACCACGTAAATCCTAATGCATTTTGATTTTTTCTTTTTAAAAATATAGATTGCAATTCAGTCATATCAAAATGAAGCCTAGACTAAATACTGAACTAGCAGACCCAGTGTTAGGACATCAATATTAACAGGACTCTAAAAGGGCAGTTTGCTGTACATCTTTAGTTAATAAACAAGCAACCATCCATACCATGTGATTCACACTTGCATATGCATGTACACTTTCATGACGTGAAGCCTTGAAGACCAAAATCTCTCTTAAACATTCAGCCTGAATAATAAAGACATGTTGCCCAGAGATAGAAAATTCATTATTTTAAAAAATATAACCTTAAAACTTAATTTTGTATGATTTTGTTTAAGCATAAAGTGGACTACCAATATTGACATTTATTATAAATGATATCATGATACCCTTGTTTAACTTTTGCAATATTTACCATTTAAAAATCTCAATAATTGATGGCTACTGTGGTTCTGTGGGGGTCAAGATGACCACACTTTCATAAAGTTTTTGCATTTCTCACAACACACAGTCATTATGCTGGTGGATTTGGTTCAGTCAGGTTACAGCTGTCCTATTATAAAGTTCTATGGCTGGTTTTCCTGAAATTGGTGAATATAAATTCCATAAAGATAATGCTAAACATATTAAACTCTCTATTAACATTACTACTATATCATAGGACAGCGATTAATGTCAAACACTGTAAATAATTATAAAATGTTCCTTATTATCATATAATTAACCTCAAATAACATATTCTCCTTATTAAAGCAAACATGAGTTATCATTTGGGCAAGTTCTGATGTACTTATATATAAACACAAATAATTTATAAATTTTCTGATACATCAACTTCTAAGGAAGGAATAATAGTTTGGCTAACAATACTATATGACTGGCATTGGCTAAGTATCTCTAAACTCCTTTACTGCTTTGACCACCATGGGATTTAGAAAGGAAATTAGTTATAGGGTCCAAAATTAACATGGGTTCAAAGGTCATGAGAATAGATTCACTTGGTATGAAGAGTGACATCACTGTAAAATTAAATTCGATACATCTGGAAAAGTTACTAAAGTTTGTAATTTCAGAGGGAAAATTTTGCCAAAGTTCTTTTGTTTTCTCTTTAATTCTCATTCTAACAAAAGTTTTCCTTTACCCAAATTGATATCAAAATATTTAGAACATTTTGCCTTCTCAACCAGACCTCTCCAAATGTAACACGAAATGTAACACGTAGTTTTACAACATCCAAATTGCTACATGTGTCCTGATGTTTGAAAAGTCCTGAGTAAGCGCTAATAAGAATTGCCTCGGCCGGGCGCGGTGGCTCACGCCTGTAATCCCAGCACTTTGGGAGGCCGAGATGGGCGGATCATGAGGTCAGGAGATCAAGACCATCCCGGCTAACAAGGTGAAACCCCGTCTCTACTAAAAATAAAAAAAAAAAAAAAATAGCTGGGCGTAGTGGTGGGCGCCTGTAGTCCCAGCTACTCGGGAGGCTGAGGCAGGAGAATGGCGTGAACCCGGGAGGCGGAGCTTGCAGTGAGCAGAGATCGTGCCACTGCACTCCAGCCTGGGCGACTGAGCAAGACTCCATCTCAAAAAAAAAAAAAAAGAATTGCCTCAATTCAGAACACAAACGTCATTTCAGGACATCAGCTAACTGGAGTGATTTACTTGTCAAAAAGAGCACACAGGAAGGGATAGCAGTGGCCCTTTGGAGTCCACATCTATTGCCCAGATTTTAAGTTGCTGTTGCCTTTGTACAGCAAGCTTTTAATTTATTAACAGTGGAATGAGAAAAGAAACAGTTGTTTTTTTGACCTATCTCTAGAGAATAATGGCGAAATTCAAATTTACCATGGAGCTCAGAAGAGATGATCTTTAAAAGGGGGAAAATGTCTAATTTTTTCTTACCAATAAGGACCCCTGATGGCTCCTGACTCACACGTGTCTCAATTAGATGCCTATCACCTAGAGTTGGGAGCCAGCCGGTGGCTAACTATTGGAATAAATCAATTGTTTCTAAGGTGTGTTCCAGGTCACTCCTTATTTCCTCGAATTGACTTTGGAGTTCCTCAAAATGAGCAGCCATCAATGCAGTGAGTCTGTTGTATTATCCATCTGATCAAACTACCATCATATGTGCCGATGTGTGACATGAAATAACTGGATATTCCAACTCCATAACCAGCAGGGACAATGACTTACGTGCACTACTAGCAGAAGGGATGCACATACATATTTGTTAACTGACTCACTGAGACAGAATGCCATGTAGGATTTCATGTCTTTTAAAAGATTGAAGACCACTGTTTCTCTTATAAAGTTGCTTTCTTATTCAGTTTTTCAGCCCCTTTGCTTGGTCAAACAGATCAATGGAAGGGAAACTGGCTTTCTTGCATCATGTCAGCATTCTCATATTGCAAGATAAGTCTGGTTTGCCTGGAACAGTCCAGATTTAAGCTCATTACAAGATAATTATTAACAATGCCCTCCATTTACTCTCAAGAGTGTCCCAGTTTGGATGGTCAATTCTATGATCACCATAATGAGAGTTTTTTGTAAGATGAGTCTGTGGTACTCATGCAGTAACATTTCCTTTCTGCTCCCCTTCTCCCTGGTTTAACCAAGGCTCAGAACCAACAGATCAAAAGGAACTCTATTTTGGAATATTGAAAAGCATCTCTCTTTCAATCATAAGTCAATCACCTGTGGTTACCTATTTTAGTAATGGCCAATTTTAATCAATTCAAATTATATATTTTCATCTTGCGCCTCCAAAAGAAAAAAGAACAATGCATTTTTATCAAGCAAAAGATAAGCGGCAATAATACAAGGAACAATGAACATATAATATAATAATTTTTCATTAACAATCCAAACACTACAAAACATAGAATATGCAACTTAAAAATGGAAATACAAATTAATGAAAAGTGGGGTACATGTCACATTAGCAATGCAAAAGACCAGCTTAAGCATAGTTTCTCTAAATTGACAATTAATAAAAGGAAAGTGCCCTTTCTCAAATATGTATGCACAAAAATATTTCAGTCACTTCTAGGGAAAGATTAATCAAAATGTTCCGCTAATTCTATATTACAGCACGTATTACTAATGGTTTACAAAACGTAGGCATCATTTTGCACTTAAAATTTACAATCTTTATCAATCATTACACACTCATTCCATCCAGTCTGTCAAAAATAAAATTATTTCATTTCTATATTTATGAAATAACTATTGATATGTTATGAATCTCAAGTGGTGAATATGTATGATGGAGCCAGTGATCAGAATAATGTCATAGATCTGAAGCTGGTTGAGGGTCAGAGAGAAAACCACCTCTGCCTGGCATATTTGTGTATTGACTTCTGCAATACTTCCTACTATTTCTAAAATAATTCTAATTGTATGTTTTCTCATTCTAAACAAAACCTAAGATTTTCATATTTAAATTTTCTGTCCACTTTTAGAGTATATTCAAAGTCTATCCAGTTATACCACCTGACAGAATGTTTCCTCCTGCATTCATATTATCCCTACAATTCTGAGTCCAGTTGAATAAAGTTAAGAATAAGGACTTAACAATATGTACCTTTTCTTCTACATGTTCAGTGATTCCCACTTTCATGAAGTAAATTTTATGGTAAACTGTACAATCCTAGGTACAGCTGTATAATGCAAATGAGAAAGAAAATATTCAAAGTTTAATTGTTCAAGCAACAATGCCAATGTCCACTGCAACCTGCGTCTCCGAGGGAGTTCTGCAAGTTCATGCTTCCAGCAAACATCTTACAATAAGTCATGCTTCACGGTTATAGTTCAAAAACTAACAGCAATGGCAAATCACATCTCTAACTCCTTCAAATCCACCTGAACAAAAAGCACCTATAGTCAGTGTCAGCCTCAGCTTTGAGCTTTCCAGTTCATATCCAACAATTGCAGCCTCAGCTTTCAGCTTTCTGGTTCATGTCCAACAATTGCCTACCGAGTTGATTAACATTCACATGAAAGTGGCAAAATTGAGGATGGAGAAGAACCAAACAGCAGTTCTGGAAAGGTTTCCAGTGGCTACCAAGCAGTCCTTTGGTGTCATTCACTGCTGCTGCTGCTGCTACCGCCACTGTCCTCTTGCTTGGGAGAAGATGAACTGTCTCGGACTGGCAGCAGGTCATAATGACAAGGGATGTGACTATTCTTTGGGAGGTCATATGGATCCTGGGTGAGATGCCCACTATTGCTGAATACTCCTTGGACAACACTCACTGTAGGTTCTGTGATAACCAAGGACACATTAATTTATCAGCAATGGAAACATTTTTAAAAAGAATATGGCATTTCTTGCAAATTTCAAACATACCAATGGGACTTTTAAAAAAATATAAGGAAATACTGGTTTTAAAAACATGATTTTAAAAATCATCACATACAGGTGGCAACTCTGTATAGTTGGATCAACTGGCAAACACAAATGGTGTTCAGAACAAAAGGATGACGACATAATCAGGATGAAGACATTAAGGGAATATACAGAATCCTGGATATGAATCATGGTCTGAAAAACCCCTTGGGGATAATGTAGGCCAAGCCCCTTATTCCACAGGTGAGAAGACTGAGGTTCTCAAACGTTAATTCGGTTCATGAAAACACTCAACAAGTTCACAACTTTGGGACTGAAGACTCAGGCTCTCAGTTGAGTTTCCATCCTACTGTGGTGGGTTTGTGGGACAGTTTAAAGGAGAATTGCTAGTGACTTTCCAAAAATAAATTTAGTTCACTTTGACTTCCACTTTAAAAAGCTGTCTTAATACTTTAAAAAGAAATTATTTTGTGTATTTTTTCCTGGGGACATACCTGGCATAAAATAAAATACTAGTAGTAAAGTAGGCACTTCATTTACAAGTAGTAGAGAATATTTTAAAGTTAAAATCACAAATACTCACAGAGATACAAAAATAGAGAGAAAAAAAATGAAAATATATAGCCCTATTGTTTAGCCAACGGTAGTGGTGGTATGTTTTATCATTTCCCAAGTGGTATTTGCAAAAGACAATCAAAATAACCTCAATTTTAAATTGAATTCATATTAATTTGTATCACATTCACGTCAGAGAATGTTACAACTATACTGGACAAGTTTAAAAGTAAAATGTTTCAATCTTGCTAAATGCATTATATTAATACAATGAACCAGGAAATGGAATCACCTGTTTAATCCACTTGAACCATTTGTTTTGGCTAACTAGATATATTAGCTAATAGGATACATATGCTATCCACATATGTGCCAAAATATTCACTATGGTTACAAAACAAAAGATGGATGATTAGGTGAAAAATAAAGAAAATTTACCTTAAATTTTTCTAAAAGATATTGTCCCTGGAAAATTCATTTGGCACCAATTAATATGATCACTAAAAACACAGGTCGCATCTATTAATAAAATATGGTGACAAAATCCCGTCTCTACCCAAAATACAAAAAATTAGCTGGGCCTGGTCGTGTTTGCCTGTGGTCCCAGCTACTTGGGAGGCTGAAGTGGGAGGTTGGCTTGAGCCCAGTAGGTGGAGGTTGCAGTGAGCCAAGATTGTGCCACTGCACACCACCTGGGTGACAGAGAGAGACCCCATCTCAAAAAAATACAAAATAAAATAAAATACGGACCATTATTTTCAAAAAGATTTCTATGACCTGCAACTATTAAATTCATAAAGACTTTAAAATTGTTTTTAAAAACTTATGCACTCGGTTCTTTCTATGGTTAAGAGATCTTACCAACTTCATAGACATTCTTGTTGGCTGAAGTTGAGTTGTTGATCTCTGCATATGGGGAATCTCTTCGTGCTGGCGATTTCATCTCCACATAACCACACTCTGAGCTTTTAGGGATAAGTACAGGTGGGTCTTTAATAGTGGCATATGGGTTCTCAGAACTGCTTAGGGAGCAGTTACTTGAATTATATTCAGAATTCTTTCCCAGGTCTGCGAAGAGAAATGGGAAGAGAAAGCTAATGCTGTGTCACTGGCAACATCATTTCTTGGTAATAATTTACTTTTTTTCTTTACAGCTAGGTTTCCATAATTCTACACGCTGAAAATAATACTACAACTTTTCCACTTGTTTTGGAGAGAATTTGCTATAAAATGACCCATTCGTAAAGCAGCTTTAGTTCCTCTCCAAGATGAGTACGGACATCAATAACATCAATATCATTATCTGATTTCATTTTTATGATCACATTCAAATATAATCAATTACATTCTATTTTATTAATAGAAGATTTACTGAAGTTCAATCAAGAAACCAGCTGTTGATGGCCCCAGGGGCACCAAGAGTGCTGGGTTATCATGACAAGAAGGCATTTGTGCTGGGAGGACTCCTGGTAAAACTCTGTACTGGGCACCTAATCACTCACACCCATCCTAAAAAGCAGACCTTGGTCAACATGTAACCATGTGGATCTTTTCTTATTGTCTCTGCTATTTCCCCTTATATGTTTCTGTCTCCCCATAAGCCATATTTCTTTCATATGAGTGTTTCCTCAGCAAACTGAATCTTTTGTTCCCCAAAGACTTAAGCTCTACCAAGGTCCACCTCTGGTCAGTTTCTTGATGTCAGTCACACGTTTGTGTGTTTGCTGTAGTAACTGACCACACTAAAAATTCTACATTTTCTCTTGTCACTCTAGCTTGTTTAAAAAATATTTCAGTCTTTGAGGTTAAAAAAATTTAATTGTGCTTCTGATTTCTTCTTCAAATTTACACCATACCTTTTAAGGATTTTCCCATATAGCTTCTGTCAAGTCCAAAAGCACCTGTAATAAAGGAAGAATAAAACACCCAGTGAGAATTTAAAGGAAGAAAAACCCCATCCAATATTCCAAGGTCCTGGAAGAGGATCTCCCACTGCAGCAAACAACCAGCCTGCTGCTTTTCAAGTCTTTACACCGGATCGGTTGTCCCAGATGTCCCCAGTGCTTAGAATTAAACACACACACATTTGGTCATTCACCCAGTCATTTACAGTGATTCAGGAAAAGCTAGTCAAAACAGGATAGAAACTGAGGCCCAGAGATAAATCAGTATACTGATTCAAGGTTGCACAGTGAAAAGACACAGCCAAGACCAGAGGTGACATTTCACACCTATGTGCAGCTCTTTCAAGGAAGGCTCTGATGGTTTTCAAATCGTTTTCCCAATAATCATTATTCGGTTCGGCTATATTATTGTCTTCACTATAAGCATGTTTTCTGGAGACTGGAAGCTTCAAACACTGTTGACTAACACTTTACAGGTGATACTAGCTCTTGCCCTTCTTTATTCAGCTTTTATTTTAACAATCTGACTTTTCCAGGTATGGGGACATAATTGTGTATGAGCCTAGATACAAACAAAAAAACCACTTTCTCATTGGAAAATGGCCAGCCTTTATTTCGTGGGTATGGGGAGGGAAATAGGAGCATTCCTGCTCATGCTGGAAAAAATTGAGCATGTAGGCAAGACAGAACGTGCAACCCCTTACAGAAATCAATCAGGTCATAAGCATGTTGTATAAAATACAAGCATTTAATCACAAATTCACACTATTAAAAACAAAATAAGAGGATATTACCTAGCCCATTTTATACTATCTGGTGTATACATGCAAAATTGCATTGTTAATACTGCATGGGAATCAAGTATTCTACTGGAGCTGTGACAAAGAGGAAAAAACTATAGATTAGGAGACAAAGGAATTACATATCATCACTTATTGGCCATATGATTTTGGGCAAGATGTTCCACTCTCTAAGTGTCAATTTTCTCATCTCTAAAATGGGGAAAACAAAATTTGCCTTCCTGCCTTCCAGGGTTTTTGTCATCATTAAGTGAAACAGAGCATATGGAAAGGCTTTGTAAACTCTGAAGCAGCATACAAATGAAGTGTGTCAATTACTCTAACACTCAGTGCATTATACTACCCTCTGCTTCAGTCTTTGCTTAAGCACTCCAAGCCTTTTTCAATTGTCTTTTAAAAGACTATTACAGGCCAGGTGTGGTGGCTCATGCCTGTAATCCCAGGACTTTGGGAGGCCAGGGTGGGTGGATTCCTTGAGCTCAGGAGTTTGAGACTAGCCTGGGCAATACGGCAAAACCTCGTCACTATAGCTCAGGAGCTCGAGACCAGCCTGGGCAATACGGCAAAACCTCGTCACTAATCTTTTGAAATACAATACAATACAATACAATACAATACAATACAATACAATACAATACAATACAATACGAATGTTACAGACTTAGGTTAAAAGTAGAGAGTAAAGTAACGACTAGCAATGAACATTCCAGGGAAGTATTTGAGAATGTTAAGGAAATGATACCCTTGCCACTGTGCATGCATCTCTTAGAGTGATGTGAAGCTCAAGTTGTGATGTTGGTGCCCTATGGGGATCACTGAGTAAGCACACACTGTTGTGGAGGAGGAAGCAGCCTCTCCTAAAGGGAGAGGGTCTGTCAGATATCCATCATGTGGGACAGGAAACAGGAATATTTTCGTCTCTCAGGCACACTCTCTTGTATCTGGGATGTGAAGAGTCTAACCAAGCCTACAGCTGGAGGGAAAGGCACAGGGTTACGCAGGGAGGCAGCAGCATAAATGGGTGTGTAGTGAAGAATTAACCTTATCAAAGAAAGGGGTGGCCTTTGCCCTCAGCTCCTGGGTGGTGATCTTGAAGTCCTTGGACTGTCCTGCCCAATAGGAGTGCTTTTGTTCACCTGGAGGCCCAGGGCTACACTGGATAGTGTAACCAAGTGATTTATGATGGGGGTTTTGGGCCATATGGTATCGCCTCCACCTCTGGAAGGAGAAAGGCTAAAGGTCAATCATGTCTACATGCTGGGAGTCAATCATGTCCATATGACTGAGTCCCCGCCTAAACTGTAACCATGAGAATGCCGATTCAATGAGTTCAGTGAGTCCTTGTAGCAAAATGTTGATCCTGAGGGTAGTCTTGATGATCCTCGTACTTGGATCTGATGTCAGAAGTCAGGGTGGTCTTGGGAATTCCCAGACTTTATAATGAGGACCCATGAAGATGGGGCACAGTCTGTGGCCCCTGAGAACAGCTTTATCAAGGAGCTCTGTCTACACTCCTCTTTGCCAAATACTCTTGGTCATCTCCAGACTGTAGCAAAGTCTTGTTAAATGTCCGTTTTAATCTTAGCTGTGCAGTGGCTAGACTTCTACCAAGATATGAAAGACAGAACCAGCATGGAGCAGATAGTAAGTTAGGGAATGAGAGCTGGGGCTGTGAGGCCAGACACCCCTGCCAGATTCTCTCTTCATTGCCTTGGAGGATCAGGGAGCTGTTTTAAGGAGGGAGCAGTCAGGATTCCCTGTAAACTCCTATATATACCAATTCCTGGGGCAGGGCTTTCAAATGCTTGGTTTAATTTAATTCACACAATGATCCAGTACACGGTTATTACTCCCATTTTACAAATGAACAAATCAACTCTGAGAGGGTAAGTGATTGGCCCAGTGCCATATCTCAGGGCCTTTTGTGTGTAATTCAAGGCTCTTTCAGATACCATGATGACAACTATTCCATCATTTAAAGCACCTGTACACTTTATCACCCACAACATGCCTGACTCTGTCCTTTGTGAAGAACTTTTTCTGTGCAACAACTTTAAAGGGATGTTCATGCAGAATTAAATAAACCAAGACGATCTAGAATTTCCAATGAAGATTCTATGTTCCTAACACCCAGTCCCTTGGGTCTCATTGAGCCAGAAAGCAGAGACGTTTACATATGACCAATGTAGTGATGTTGTATCTTCTGGAGTTTTCACAGTGGTCTAAGATAGAACAAGAGGACTTTTCTTTCAGTAGTTCTGGTTGGTATTTTGCTGAATATCAATTCATACATTCCTTTGAGCTAAATTATAAACGTAATTAAGACTCCTAAAAAGTCTCCTTTAATGTTAGATGATGTTACCAATAAGCATATTGTGAGTCTTGTATGTAAATAATTTTACTATGGTTGGAAATACACATTCTATTGATAAAAATGGTATAGAATGCAGATAAAAGTTAGGAATTTGTACAGCAAGCATGATAACCACGACACTAGGGAAACGACTAAGAATTTGTATTCACCACTTAAACATTTTTATTTCCATAGAAACAGGCATTCCCGCAGGGATCAGTTCCTATGACTGGCTCAGAAAACCTGACACTGCTTACAGAGGAAGCAGTGTTTAAGGGGAGCAGTCAGAAGACCAACTTGGAAATCTGGCTTTACCCCTTTCCTCCTTTGAAATTTCAGACAAGAGGGTTAACCTCTCTGTGCTTCCCAGTTTATTCCTCTATTATACAAGATTCACGGGACAGGGTCCACCAAGGAGGATTGTCCAATTTACCAAATAGGCCAAGTGCGGTAGCTCATGCCTGTAATCCCAGCACTTTGGAAGGCCGAGGCAAGCGGATCACTTGAGGTCAGGAGTTTGAGAATGGCCTGGCCAACATGAAGAAACCCAGTATCTACTGAAAACGCAAAAATTAGCCAGGCATGGTGGTGCACATCTGTAATCCTAGCTGGTTGGGAGGCTAAGGCAGGAGAATCGCTTGAATCCAGAAGGCAGATCTTGCAGTGAGCCGAGATCATGCCACTGTACTACAGCCTAGGCGACAGAGCGAGACTCTGTCTCAAAAATAAAAACAAAACAAAACATTAACAAATAAAAATACACAAAAATCAGCTATATTAAAATTTTAAAGAAACAACAAATAATCTTTAGTGTACATCCCATGTAATACCTGTGATATATTTATACAAAAAATATTTATTGTTCATCTATCTGAAATTCAAATTTAACTGGGATTTCTGGCACCTACCTCCAAATAAATGTACGTGAAAGGACTTGTTATCCATAAGACACTGCGCACCTGTAAGTTACTATATCATCAAACTCCTCCCTGCAAATATGGAGTACAGGCTTGGAAACTGCACTGCATAATTAATGGTATATCACAGAAGTTCTTTAAGTGTGGACCAAGCATTCCTGTCCCCTTTTCAGGAGGCCTATGAGATCAAAACTATATATACACATATATATTTTAAGAGGTGGGGTCTTGCTATGTCATCCAGATCAGATTCAAACTCCTGGGCTCAAGCAATCCTCCTGCCTCAGCCTCCCAAGTAGCTGGGGCTATAGGCCTGTGCCATTGTGCCCAGCTGCAAAACTATTTCCATAACAATACAACATTATTTGCCATTTTCACTCTAATTCTCTTTCAAGCATACAGTGGAGTTTTTCAGAAGCTACACAAAGTATGAGATCAAAACCAACTGAATGCAAAAGCAGACATGATAATCTAGCTATCTTCTATTAAGCCAGACATTAAAGAGAGTTTTTATAAAAAGGGTGTAAAATAGTGTTGTTGTTCTCATTAATTTTGGGTAGTTTTGGAAAATGTAGTTATTTTTCATAAAAACAAAATTTATGTCACCGTGAAATGTGATGATTATTGTTAATTTAAATAAATTACTCTTTTTTTTTACTTTTATTTACATATCAAATTTCATTACCACATTAAATTTCATTTAATATGGTAAATATAAATAGACATAGCCCCTACCAACAGAAGTTCTTTGGGGTTCTCAATAAATTTTAAGAGTGTAAAGGAGTCCTGATTTCAAAAAGTTGAATCACTGATCCACCACTGTATTCCTGTTGGTATCTCTATTTCCTCACCTGAAAGGGAAAGGGATCTCAAGTACGGATACCCTATATCAAAAGAGAACAAAGAAGAACGCACATCTGGGAGCCAACCTGACAGGGTGCAATACTAGCTCTGACATTTAATAGGCGATGAGGTGCTGTGCAAGTAATTTGTTATGACTCAGTTTCTCAACTGTAACATGGAGATGGTGATAACAATAGTACCTACCTATTAGAGTACTTGTGAGAATTAAGTTAATAGGCATAGAGCTAGAATGTAAGCTATGAGCAGGCAGAGATCCCAAATTCTTTCTTTTTTATTTTATTTTTTTTTTGAGACAATATCTCACTCTGTCACCCAGGCTGGCGTGCAGTGGCGTGATCTCAGCTCACTGCAAGCTCTGCCTCCCGGGTTCACGCCATTCTCCTGCCTCAGCCTCCCAAGTAGCTGGGACTACAGGTGCCCGTCACCACGCCCAGCTAATTTTTTGTATTTTTAGTAGAGACGGGGTTTCACTGTGTTAGCCAGGATGGTCTCGATCTCCTGACCTCGTGATCCGCCCGCCTCGGCTCCCAAAGTGCTGGGATTACAGGCGTGAGGCACCACGCCCGGCCCCCAATTTCTTTTGATCAATTCCTGGAACACAGTCGGAACTCAATAAATGTTTGTTGAATAGATAAAGCCCTTAGGACAGTAGTTAGCCCTGTACAGGTGTTAGGCATAATTCTGTAAATGTGCTTTTTGATACAAGTTTTCAATAGAACACCTTGGCACAGACAGAGATTTGTGACTGTTTCAGGGACTCATAGGTCAAGGCGTGCTGGGGACGTGCACTGGGAGAACTCACCAAGCTCGTTGAGGTAGCCACCATGTTTCCAGTCAGCTGGCAATGTCCCAGTGCAGTCCCCCACAGGGCCTCTCTTCCCAGGGTTCACATTTTTAAGATTCACAAACAGTTGATTGTTTTTTGACTGTTAAAAATATAAACAATGAAAGATTAAAAACAAAATACAATGTGGCACAGCACAGCACTATGGACCTGGGGAAAAGTCCAGGGTACATATTGAGGACCAGTCCTTAGAGGGGGCTAAGCTCAGGGGCCGAGGTGACTGCTTGTAACCTGGTGGGACTTGGAAGCTGGCAGGAGTTCATGTCCTTCAGTCCCAGCTATTCCCTCCACCACCTCAAGATCTTCATTTCACTCTGTCATCCTGTGCCAATTAGACCTTATCTGTATTTATACACATGTAACTTTGAATTGAAAAAAAAAAAAAGAATTCTTGGTCTAAGCCCTCCCATCAAAAATTGTGTTTGTGTAAGTCACAGGTGACTCTTAGCAGTCATCCTAGGCATAAACATGAGGATAAGATTATCTGCTTTGCCCTCTTCCCTGAATTTGTATGAGAACAAATAAATTGATGAATGTGAAAGTCTCTGGAGAACATGGAGTGGTATTTAACCATGAGGCACTATAATTAAAATCTATAGCTACAATAATTAAATTACAACTGGATTAATTTAATTAACTTGATTTTTTTTCTCTAACAGAGCACTGGAATTAGACAACGGAGATTAGAAATATAATTTGGGTATGATTGGAAGAAAGAAATCTTTGAGATTTCAGAGCATTGTGGGGAAGACCCAGGGGTGACTTGGGTGCTATTAGAGGAACAGCTCTGGGTTCCAGACAGCTCTGTCTCCAACCTCTCTGTGACTCACTTTCCTCATCTGTAAAATCGGCATAATAATCGCTCGATTTATAGGTTTGGTGTGAAGATTAAATGAGTTTATATTTTTTAAGTGATTAGAAATGCTTGGCACATAATATTAGGTTGTTGCTATGTGACCATTGTTGACCTACAAAAATAGCAATTTCATGTGGTTCAACCCAAATCAGGGCATATTACTGTTGTTGTTACTAAAGCACAGTTGGCCAGGAAAGGGTACCAGAGAATGGGCGGTCAGAAGAGATGCACTTGGAGATTCTGCGCACGGCTGATTCTGCTATAGGTCTTTATGTTTTTGTTAATGTCATTATAACTTATTATTTTAAAATCTCATGTAAAATTAGAAACATTTTTCTAAAGCAGTGTAATGGAAACAGTAGATTGTAGAGACAGAGAGACTTTGACTCACACAGCAGCTGCCACACTCATTATCAGGCAGCTACGTCTGCAAGTAACTTAAACTCCCCGCTACTCAGGTTTTCATCAGGAAAGTTGAGATTCCCAAGGCACACCCAGAGGACTGTTTAGAGGAATAAATTAGATAATGTATGTAAAGTACCTAGAACAGCCTCTGGTAAACAGCGACCCTCAATACATTCTGGTTCCCTTCCTCTCTCCCCGGCCCACTTTCAAAGACTTGAGCCAATTCCTCTCACCTTCGTGACGGTCATCCTATCCCTGTTGTTGACGTGAGGGGATGTGGCACACTGGGTGAGCGTGTGGTAGCTGGGATTGGTAAAGTAGTGGCTATTAGCGTTTCCACCATTGCTGTGAGGAAGGGTTCCTGCAAGAAGGAAGGAAACGGTTAAGGCAGCAGGCTCCCATAAATGTGTGTGAAAAAAGGGAATCAAAATAACAGAACAGGCCGGGCGCGGTGGCTCACGCCTGTAATCCCAGCACTTTGGGAGGCCAAGGCGGACAGATGACGAGGTCAGGAGACCGAGACCATCCTGGCTAACACAGTGAAACCCCATCTCTACTAAAAAAACGAAAACAAATTAGCCGGGCATGGTGGCGGGCGCCTGAAGTCCCAGCTACTTGGGAGGCTGAGGCAAGAGAATCGCTTGAACCCCGGAGGCAGAGGTTACAGTGAGCTGAGATCGCACCACTGCACTCCAGCCTGGTGACAGACCAAGACTCGTCTCCAAATAAATAAATAAATAAATAACAGAACAAATGTCTAGACTGCTTCCATATCACAAGCTGGGCAGAATCTCCTCCTGCCCAGCCTACTCAGCAAAGCTTCTAGAAGCAACAGGCCTCTGCCTTCCTAAGTGCCTCCTTGGAAAAGTATGAAAGCTTGTGAACAAATGTGAAACTGAAAAAAACAATCCTTTAAGATCCACAGGAGTGGCTAACTAGGCCTAAATTTAAAATACAGTCAAGCACGCCTTTGCTGACTAAGTGTCACACCTGTACTCTGAGTTCCCGGAAAACCCAGCCCTTTATCTTTGGGTCTTTCAGAGTTCAGCTGAACCAACCAATCAGAGCTTACCTGCCTTGCTAATCAGGGCTCAGCTTTATCAAACGATCAGGGTTCAGCTGTATCAACCAACCAGAACTCAGTTGCACTGACCAATTAGAATTAAACCAGTTTCAATCCTTCACTTGCATAAAAGGGCCTGATTGGAAGCTGGGTGGGGAGTTTTGCTATAAAACCCAAGCTTTCCCTTTGTTCTCTGAACTGCACCTTCATTTTACACTGGCTGCAACTCCTGGGTTTGCAGACTGTTCACTGGAATAAAATCTCTTTCCTCCAAATTCCTTTTCAGAGAACTTTTGTTCACAGTATCCACCAACAACTGCTCTTTGCTTTGGGGCTTGTAGAGCTGGGAAGGCATCATTTGAAGCTACTCTGCAACTTTCCTTTTTTTAAACACTTGAGTTCTTGACACAATAATTCTGCACTGAAAATGCACTACTATGTAAATCAGTTACTTCTCATATTTCCACAGAATTTTGTAGTTTTAAACATGTCACCAACCAGAAAGCCTTCAATGATCACCCAAAAAGTAATAAAGATTTTAAGCTTTTAAATTCCTCCATGTAAGTGGTTGCTTCCACTGATGATCGATTATAATTTTTTTTTCTTTTATGAGGCACTGTGACAGAACAGAAAAAATCAAGAATTTTCTTAAAGGGCTGCCTTGGTTCTTGCTAATACCAAAAAGCTGCTTCTCGTACAACTTGGTTCCCTCCAGTTAATGATTCGGGTAGGCCTAGGGAGAGGCTGGGAAGCATATAGAAAGTACCCCATTTAGAGACAGGAAAACTGGTCCAGCTCCATAATCTGATCCATGACCTTGGTAAATTCATCATCCTCTCTTCCTCCCCACCCCCCTCACATATGACAAAAGCTTGAGGCTGGATACAAAGCTCCTTATGGATTGAAATTCCATAAATCTAAAGCACAAACAACACAGTGAGCTCAATTTTAAAACCCTCATAGCAAACCACAGAATGACAATTTACTATTGTTGAAATAAAAAACTCATCTCTAGCAATGTACACCTTTTCCACAGAATTATCTCAATGAGAATTGACAGAAACAATGGATTGCACAGCCAAACACCCAGTTTTAAGGAAACAGGGTGAAATTTAACTTTTCAAGAAGCAAAATGCCTCTCTGCTCTTACCTGAAATGGTATAATCTGCATTGATGACCCTCATAGCAGGGGTGTAGGTAACTGCTGGCATGCTTGATTCCTTTCCCTTCTGCTTGTGTCTATAAATAATGAACAATGCCAGTAGGAAGAGAACAACTAGGACAAGAATGATGATGCCCGCAATGGCCCCGATCTGGTAGGAATCAGCAGGGAGAGCAGTACTGGTTCGGCTTAAGCTATTCAGATTTCCAACTATGATAACACCAGCTAGAAAAAGAAAAGAGAGACTTGAGAAAGGATGACAATGTGCTGGATAAATGTTTGATCTCTACTTACAAAAACCTCCTTCTGTGCTAATGCCTCCATATTTTCAGTTCATAAAACATTAATTTGGAAACAGAGCAGGAAGAAAAAGCAACCATTCCTCATTGTCAGATGTTGTCAGCCTATCCATGCCCAGAGAAAGGCTGCTGTAAGCCTCAAAAAGAGACAGAAGCTGGGCACAGTGATGCGTGCCCAGAGTTCCAGCTACTCAGGAGGCTGAGGTGGGAAAACTGATCTAGCCTAGCAGTTAGAGATCAGCCTGGCCAACAAGCAAGACCCTGTCTCTAAAAAAATGTAAAGAAAGAAACAGGATTTTCTAAACCCAAAGAGATTCAACAGTAGGGTTTGAGAGCTTCTTATATATTTCCGATTAAATACTTAGACTGGCAATTAATTTGGGGTAACAATTTATCTAATTTTTATTTTGCTTCATTATTCAATAATAAATAAAGTTTATGCAGAGTTAAATGCTAAATGTCCCAACTGCGTAACCAAATTTTATGTCTATCCTTAGCATTTCTAAGAGTAATCTTCCTTCTAAGCAAGCATAACACCATTATAAATCTAGTCTAAGAACAGGATCTGCCTTTTGCTAATTACAATGGGTCTTTTACCTCAGAAGATATTGTTCTGTTGAAAGTTATTTTCCATGACAGAAAGATTTGTCCTGATAATACCTGATAGCATTACCCTAATACCTTACTCATTAAATTCAAAATTCGGCATTACATAGTTCTTCCTTATGGTCCATCAAGTGAGGACGCTAAAGGCATGGGTTGAGAGTCAAGAAATCTGGCATCTAAAAAAATTGACCTAGATATTCTGAACTTTCCCTTAAGCTTTCAGGCTGCAGTTTTATCATCTATAAATGAGAAAAGAGGCCTCCATGTCACTGCTTCCAGCTCACGTAAACGTTCCTATGATTTTATGATTCTAAATGCTGGAGGACCTTCTTACAAAACAATATGACCTGAAACACAGACCACCAAGGACAATGTAGTGAGATTACAGCGTATTTGTAATTATGATGTGATCATGAAAGATTGCATTCTATTGTTATGACAGTCAAAGGTAAATCATAAGCATGTAAAAGTTATTTTACCACAAAAATTAAATGTAAATATTTACATGGTCTGCAGTTTAAGATGATACCATCTACAACAGTGTATCAATTTTCTAAAGGCTTTTATAGCCCATCTGCTTATTGCCTACCAGGGAGTACCACAAGCAGTAAGAGCTGTGGCTGTCTGCAGGGCACGCTTCAGAACCATCAGAAGCACTTTCTCAAAGTCCCCAACCCCAGAATCAGAATTTCCCAAATGGGACCGTGTACATGACAACTATTCCCAGGTCATTATGACACACTCCTCAATTAAAAACCAGGGGCACAAGTTTTACAAAAAGTTAAACATATGCCTACCATATAACCCAGTTATTCTACTCCTAGGTATTTACCCAAGAGAAATGAAAGCACACGTCCGTGCAAAAACTTGATTCACTCTTGTTCATAGCGGCTTTATCTGTAATAGCCCCAAACTGGGAACAATCCACGTGTCCATCAGCACATGAATAGGGAAATAAATTATAGTATATCCATACAATGGAACACTATTCAGCAATGAAAAGAACTGAACTGTTGATATGTGCTACAACATGGTTCCATTTCAAAATAATTATGCTGAGTAAACAAAGCCAGACCCAAAAGAGTACAATATGATTTCATTTATATAAAATTCTAGAAAATGAAAACTAATCTATACTGACAGAAAAGACATGAGTGATTACCTGGGGCATAACGGGTGGTAGAAGTAGGGAGGGGCATGAGGAAACACATGGTGATGGATATTTCATTTATTATGGTGATGGTTTCATAGGTATATAGACAGTCCAAATTTTATTAAATTGTACACATTAAATAGGTTTTTTTGTGTGTGTATCAATTACACCTCAATAAAGCTGAAAAGAAATTATAGACCCAGTAGGAAGTTCACGAGTTTTGGAATAACAAAAATCTGGCACAAAAGCTATGACATATTCTAGATATTAGCTATGTGACCTTGGGAAAATTACTCGGCCTCTCTAAGCTTTTGTTTCCTTATCCACAGGAGAGCAACAATAAGGCATTCATCTGGAAATTAAATAAGTAACCAATTATGCCATTTAGAGTTGTGGTGAAGATTATGCTGGATAACACAAGTGAAAATACTTCGCATAGACGGGTACATGCTGCTCACACAGTACTACAAACATTTGTTGGTATCTTTACCTTGATCACATCTCGCTCCCTTCCATCCGGGGCTGCAGTAACAGGTTCCGGTGATGTGGTCGCAGGTGGAGTTGTTCAGACAGTCACATATCTGGCGACAGCCATAACCATATGTTCCTGCAGGGCACTCTAGAGAAGGAAAGTCAAATGTAGCTTTCCAGCCTCGGGAATTTGGAGCAAGGCTGTCTCTGACTGCAAGCCCTGAACATCTAGAGCAAAATCCTTTCAGGGGATTCCTATTGAGGCTGACTTGTACCCCCAAGAGTGTCCCAAAACTGGACAGCATTCCCGGAATCATGGTGGCACTCACAGTCCAGACTGCACATGGCTAGAGCCAGGGCTGCTCAACATTAGAGCTCCTGACACTTTCAGCTGCTACACACCCACCTCTATGATGCGTGTATGGAGAGTCTGTGGAATTCCCATGGAACAGATGAAGATAATCACTAAGGGCAATTTGAGACAAGTCTACCAGGCAAAACTGTGGGCTGAAAGTGGCCTAGACTGAAGAGCATAAACTAAAGATGCTTTCTTGAGAACACATATATTTTACTGTAGGCTCAGGGATCTTCATAAACACACATTCTCAATTGAATTAGCCAGGAATAGGAGAAGAGGCAGACAACAAGTTTTGTTGATTTTCTAGGTAAGAACTTCATTTGCTATGGAGTGGTTCAAACTCTGGATTTTGCTGAAGTCTCGAAGACAAAAATAATGGGATTCTTACAGTGTGGTCGTAATAAGAGTTAGGCATGAATTTCAAAGGATAGTGTAAGCATGTTAAATCTAAAAATCTTCGTGACAAAATATTGTTGTTTTTCATAAAGTTAACAGCAGGGGGCAATGTGCTAGTATTATTAGAATTCTCTGTCAAACACAGGGTTTCTGTTTACAAATAAGCATTGGGAGAAGTCTCCAAAAATAGGGACACTTTAATTTGCTGTTGAGAGCAATCACGGAAGCACTTAAGAGGTTTTCTTATTTAATAAGCCCTTAACCAGTCATCTGGCATTCAAGTAAAATTCTGAACCTATTCTGGTTTCCATGAATATGTTTAGACATTTATACATAGACATACAATATTTATATGCACAAAAGAGGTGTGCATGCAACTGTGTCACTCAGTCAGGATCTGTTTCATGACTCAATGAAACAGTGATGCAAAACTAAAATTGGGCTGTCTGTCTTGAGCTGATTCCTGGATGTCACTTTTGTATATTTGCTAGAAAGAGGATATGCAAAAATACCCTAGGGTTTAGCACATAAGATTGAGGCAACCAGGTTGAAAGTGGCTCTGTGAGGCGCCAGTGGAGTGGAGTGGGGAGGGATGCTTTATTTCCAGAGTCCTGCTATCCTGATCAACCTTTCCAGGCCACACTGCTCCTATGGCCATAATCTTGGCAGATCCTTCCCAAGAGTACAACCTCTGCTAAACAGGAATTGTTCTTCATCTTTTCCTGCCTAAAAGGTTTTATCATAAGAAAGTGGGTCCGATACAGCTCTAAGCCCTTATTTATTGTGAATACTAAATGAAAGTCACAGAGGAAAGGAATAATAAACTAATTTGCAATATTCAATTTTCTTAAGACTAATTTTTTTTTTTTTTTTTTTGAGACGGAGTCTCGCACTGTCGCCCCGGCTGCTATGCAGTGGTACGATCTCAGCTCGCTGCAACCTCCGCCTCCCGTGTTCAAGCGATTCTCCTGTCTCAGCCTCCTGAGTAGCTAGGATTGCAGGTGACTGCCACCATGTCCAGCTAGTTTTTTGTATTTTTAGTAGAGACGGGGTTTCACTATGTTGGCCAGGCTGTTCTCGAACTCTTGACCTCGTGGTCCACCTGTCTCGGCCTCCCTAAGTGCTGGGATTACAGGCGTGAAGCACTGCGCCCGGCCAAGACTAATGTTCTTATAACTCCGTGAGTGGATGCATAGATAGTGGGATGGAAATAAAAAATAAGGAGGAGTAATTCCAACAGCATATTCCCCCCTAGTGGGACTTAAAAAAATTTTTAAGGCAGTATGTTGTCTTGAAGGTTGTTAAGACTAAGATGAGAAGTTGTTAATGGAAACAGTATAAAAGTACTATCTAGAGAAGGTTGTTGAAAGGGTGGCAATGTTTGCATGGATTTGTTCCCTCACCAGCAACAGGGGTTGGCCCTGGGCCACCAGCCCTCCTCCCCATCGAATGTACTGTCCTCCAATGTGAGACCCGGGTCCCGCCTCTGCCATGAAGAAAGCTCGACTGGCTCTTTTAAAGCTCTGAGCAGCCACATTCCAAAAATAAGAAAGAGAGGAAGGGAGAGCCCGAAAGAACAGAATGGAAAACTTGAATTCTGTCTTCATTCTTGTAGTCGCACCTCCTCCACCCAGAGCACTGAGTAACCAGCAATGATCCCAGGGAGGCCTGACCTCTGGGAGGGGAAGTCAGTCATGCTGAGAAGTAACCAGCCATCAGCTCAAACAACCTAAGAGTGGTGAATTCTGCCTTAATATTTCCCGGCATCTAGGAAATGTGATCCTAGAGGAAAAAAACATACCACCCAGTGATGCCACACTCTCATACTTACTCTGCTCACAGTGCCGTCCCATAAATCCAGTGCGGCAAGTACACTGCCCGGAGATGTGGTCGCAGTCAGCTCCGTTTTGACATTGGCATATCAGTGCACAGTCTTTTCCATAAAACCCTAGAGGACATCCTGTGGGAGGAGGGAGGACAGCAGGAGTCAAGAGGCTGCTGAAGAGAAACACTTGGAGGCTCGTGCCTCCAACATATTTGTGTTTAAACTTGAATGACACTGAGCCATCAGAGAATACAGTGAATAGTACATATCTCAGCTTGCCACAAGAGCTTCTTTGAAGTCCCAAGACAGGACTCTTGCAAGGAGGTTGTAATTCATAAGCAGGAGGCAGAAGAGTTTCATTCCTGTCAGTGTAACCATCTGAGGCAAGACTAGTGCCTTCTAAAAAAACATCCCTTCGATCCTGGAAGAATAGGACATTTCCTTTCATTCTTTCACATTTCTACTAGAATCCTAGACTCAAATTCCAACGGACTGAGATGGGTACTTTATATTAAAATTATCTGTATGCTTTTACTTGTAGTACAGAACATCTCTCTATTGTTGCTACTAGCCTTGTCCACTGTATCTGTTATTAACTTAGATAATATCAACTTCCCTGAAGAGGTGTACTAGAATGCTTAACTTAAAAAACAATTATACTTCACAGGTGCTTTGTAAAAAGCAATAAGCCTTCACACTGCTGCATAATTTTCAATGCTGAGACTGGCGACTCTCTTGAGCTAAAGACACCCCCAAATTCTGTTGGCTTACGTGCGCTGGCAGCTGTCCTGCAAGAGTGTCTTGGGGATCTCTGGCGTGATGAAAGATTCAATGCAGGCTGATTCAATGGTTGTTTCCAAATATTACATATGCTTTTCATTTTCTCATTTTCTTATGGAACTTTCAAGAAGCAGAGGCAGTGCCCAGATGCCAGGACGCACTGATGACCCCCTGCTGTCATGCATTTATTTAGCACCTACTCTATGCCAGATTCTTTTCATGCATTCTCTTGTTTAATCTTTACAGCAGGCCAGAAATGCAGGGATGGATATTCCCATCCTGTAGACAGGAACTAAGCCCCAAGTACCCTAAGTCACACAGCTGGCAACTGGCAGGGCCATGATTCAAACGCAGGGAGGTCTGGCTCCGGACCCCATGTTGCTCCCACTATATCGTGTTACTTGCACTTGAAAAAGGGTTCTCTGTTTGAAGCACGTTCTAATTTTAGAATTATAAATAATATCTTACAAGTACCTTTCTCTAAGAAGTTAAACAATATTTATAGATATATGAGCTCTGAAGAATACGCTTGGGCCAGTCACCTTCCTTGCCAATTATCCTTTTCAAATCTTCGTTCAAGGTCTACATTCTCTTCTAGAAAGTTTCTAAAGACTTTTTCAGCCTATTTTTTAATTACGTACTCTAATTAGTATTAAATAGGAATTGCTTAATTTCAGACCCATCTTTCCTCCTCAGCTTCTTGCTATTATTTTAAAATATATGCTATTATTAGTACTTAATCATAACACATGCCTTCCCGTCTTGTCTCCTTTATTCAACCGAAGGTAAGAAGGCAGAGAATAATCTTCCTTCCCCAGTGATGCTCAGCTTTGGAGTAAGTACTTTGCACATTATAGCCTATCATGCTAAAAGCCTTATGGAAGAAAAAATGGTTAGGATGCTATGAAATACAAAATGGGGAAAAGAACTAGAGCAGTGGCTCTCAAAGCATGGTCCCAGGCTGGCATTACTACCAGTTGATAAAAATGGCAATTCTCAGGTGCCAGTCCAGACCCACTGCTCCGGCTCTCTGGGATGGGACCAGCTTCTGTGTTTGTTGTGTACTCCAGGTGATTCTGAAGCTTGCTACAGTATAAAAACCATGGAACTCCACCTTTTCCAGGAGCACACATTAAATCAGGCAGTCAGGCTTGTTGTCCTCACTATCTTTCTAATCTTTATATCCTAACTTTTGTGCTGTTAGAATAAAGAATTGAGAATTTGATCCATGTAAATATGGTTTGGTTAAAGGACAGAAGAGAAATAACCCGCACACCATCACACAGCATTGCTCCACCTCAGTGTCCTGATAGAACCTAGAGAGAATACTTGGAATGTAGTAGCTCTTAATCACTTAGAGAAATTTAGATGTCTACAGGTCGTTAGGAGAGGGAAGTACTCCAACCTCAGGGACCTTTTTTGAGCTCCAGTCACGCATGAGGAGGGTGAGGCTGTTTCCTCCTCGGACGAGGCTCCCCTTGGTGAGCCTCAGAAGGCTTGTCACTTACTCTGAGTGCAGTAGAGCCCTGTCCAGCCAGGAGTGCATTTACATTCCCCATCGTAGGCGCTGCAGAAAGCTCCATTGTGGCAGTTGCAGGTGTGGATGCAGTTTGGGCCCCAGTGGGCAGGTGGACATGCTGAAATTACAGGTGTGGAGAAGTCCATCAGAGCTCTGAGGCCAATACCAAGTAGGGAGAATTCCATCCACCCCTACACATCTCCCTGCATGTGAGAGGTTAGCAGTGTACATTAGGACTAAGAAAGCACGCTGCTCTGAATTCTGCATCAAATCCCAGATGGCCATGCCGACTTCAACAATGACTGTCATTACTGACATATGTATTCATTTACAACTGCAGAGTGAGGTGGCTGGGGCAAAAATCACCTCAAGTTTACAGATTCAGTTATTAAACAGACACACATTCAACACCTATTATGTACCCAACACTCTTCCAGGCACAAGAAAGATAGCAGAGGACAAGACAAAGTCCAAACCATCCTCTGGAAGCTTATATTTTGGTAAGGGAGGCAGGCAAACCAACCAACCAACCAACCAACCAACCAACCAACCAAGTGAAAAATCAATGGTGGTAAGTATTATGAAAAAAACATAAAGAGGACAAGGAAGATAATAATTTTGGGAGCTAGTCCTCTGAGGAAGGCCTCTGTGAGGAGAGGACATTTGAGCAGAGATAAGGTGTGGAAAATGACTTGACTCAAGAGAGGTTAAAGGACCGAAGGCCATGTAGCTCATGTTCACAATTTCTAAATCCTGTACTCTTCAGTCTACTCTAGAGTTGCCACTTTAGGCTTCTTTTAAATATTGAGGTTCCCAGCGGTATGTAAAAATTGGTTTCCTTATAAAAACTCTTAATTGGAAGATGCAGAAAATCATACAATTAAATCATTAGGGGTCACTGCCAATTGAAGAGACATCAGAAAGTCAGATAAAGTATCTGTGAAATAATAACATGAGATCAGGGGGGTAAAATAATTTCATTGACAAAAAATACTTTTTATTCATATTAATACTTCAGGAACATAATTGCATAAAAGGAGGACCGCCTGTAATTTCTATATGGCTACCCCGTAGGGAATGTGGACCAATAAAGACAATCAATAATACATATGAAGTAACTTTATAAATGAAAAAAAATTCTTCCATAATTGTGTGCACTGTTTTTGTCCAAGAGCAAGGGGAAAATACTAGCTGACACTTGAGGTCTCAGAGTGAGCATTAGAACAAATTTTCTAAGTACAACACCCTCATTTTACAGCTGAAGAAACTGAGGCCCCAAAAGGTTAATAGTGACTCGTACAAGGTCACACAGATTAATAACAATATTTGCTATTTGTTAGACAAATACAGCTTCCCTCTTTTAAAGCCACAGTGAGACTCGGTGAAAACTATTGCAGTGTCTAGCCCGTCTGATGCTCAGGGAAGCACTCTTTACCTAAAGCAACCTATTCCTTAGATGATATTTAATCAGCTTTTGTAAACCCATTTATGTTTACGATATAGTTTTCTGAAGTAACCCACTGCCATTAGGTTTTTCTCCCTATATTTGTTATGATCAGAGAATGGGAATAAGCATTACTCAACTTCATATTCCCAAAAGGTAAATGTAGAGATAGTGCTTTAAAAAATCATTTTCCCAAAGACACTTGCCCCTTTAAATGTACCCCTTTAAGTTTTCAAAGTCTGTGTTTTCACTGTGAAAGACTTTGCTCTCTTTAGACAGGCTCACAATCAGCCAAGAAGAAATATGAAGATGGTTCCATAGAGTCCATAAGGGAATCAATGAAATCAATGATCCCCAGGAGAAGCAAAGGCTTTTGCCAAATAAATCAGCTTCCTGTGGAGTGATTATCGGGGCAGGCAACACTATAGTCTCCATTCATAGTTGTGTTTCTATTTTTGTTCCTTTCAGCACATTCCTCCTCCAAATGAGGAAGGGACGAATTTCCAAAATAAAGACTGCTTTTCAAAGGAGCAATATAAATCAATCATTTTATGACAATGATATTGGACCTTTTACTCTTCCCAAATCCTGTTTTTCAGTATCTATTTATCAATCTGTCCATATCCCCAGCTATCTGTCACAGCCCTTGCAACACATGTAGATTTAAACAGACTGATTTCTTCTGAAGTGATGCCCCCAGAATGCAGTGAAATCACATCGCATAACACTTCCTTCACCAAAGAGCTACACTTCTGAGATTTATTAGCTCTGTTCTCTTATTCCTAAAAAATGGGGTACAGCCTGGACTACTAACGGAAAAAATTAACATTCAGAAAAAAGTCTTCCAGCAAAAAACATATTGCTCATCAATTAGTATTTGCAGGTTGCTTGTAACTGTGAGGTTTGAATTAAATTATCAATAAAGCACCATGTAAAATGACTGCACACAGTAATTCTTTGATTTCTCTTATGTGCATGATGGGGGAATTCAATATAAACTGAGAGTGTTTCATAAAATTTATAATGAATGAAACCAGATTACCCCATACATATGCTATTCCTTGGTCAAAAGTTGAATACTTTTAAACATTGCCCTGACCCTTTCAAAACATTCATGAATGACTTATAGTCAATGTCATTTTTTTCATGACATGGGTGCTCTAAGAGTCATCTATATAGTCCCTTATAGGGTCACACAATTCCTGTCTGAAATCCAATGGTGTGGAAGGCACTTGGGTGATGCCAACGTGAAGGTAAGCATATTAGGTGAGCAGTTCACTCTGGTTCCCAATAGGTTTCTACGGCTCACATCATTTAATTCCATTTTTTCTTTCTCTGTAATTAACTCTCCAGATAAACACAAAATGAAGAGATAAACTTCTAAATACGGCTGTTTTGCTTTATTTCAATGGAGGATGAATCACTGAAAAGTGGATAAGCAAAATGTTACATATTTAGGTTCTTTCCAAGACATTATTTCGATTAAACATAGGACCATTGCATAGATGTCTTAATGGGGAAAAAAAAGAATTAAAAAAAAGGAATTTAAAATAGAATGTGTCTTTTAATTAGTCATATATTCTTTCTTGATTATATAAAAACACTCATACTTCAATCCTAAAGAATCTGAAAACAAACAAATAAGAACAGTTGATTAATTGTTCTCAAACAAGACTTACGTTGAGAGCAGTCACTGCCGATCCAACCGGGATAACACTGACAAGATCTGTCAATGGGGTTACAGGTTCCGTTGTTGGTGCAGGTACAAATGCCTGCACAGTTTTTCCCAAATCTGCCACTGGGACACACTGTGAATAAGCTATAGGTCAGTAACTCACAATCACAACCCCTCTCACAGAACCCTAGAATCTTAGCACCGGAAATGACTTTAAAGGTCACAGGCCCAGCTGCTCATTGGTAGCTATCTCTGCTCAACAGCATCCCTCGTCTTGAATGGGCTCATTTTTACAAATCCATGAAGCCAAAGATTCTCATTACGGCATCACAAACCAGGGGACATCATTGCACTTCTAGAAATCTGACTTCACGACTTCTTGTTCTGGGAGTCAAAAAATCCTTTCTCATATTGATTGTTTATGGGACGATGTGTCTAGCTAAAACTGAAGAGTAGCACAACTCAGGGAATAAAAACGTTTTGCTGGAGTGGCAAGCCAGTTTTTCCAAAGCTCAAAGTCCTATCTGAGAAGCTGCAGACACAGCACAGCAGAAGACATTCCCAGCAGACAGCTGAAAACATGGCCTTCAGGAAGGCCAAGGGGAGGCCTGAGGACAGGGCGTGCTCATCTCCAGGGCGTGCTCATCACCACCCAGCTGTCCGGGATGCTTCGTGCCTTACCTTCGTTGCAGAGGGCACCTGTGAAGCCAGGCAAGCAGTCACACAGGCCGGTGATGTGGTGGCAGGGCCCGCTGCTATGGACACACTGTGGGCATGTCTGGCTGCAGCGATGCCCATAAAAACCAGGGGAGCAGACTGAAAATAGAAGGAAAATCAGCAGTTATCCTTCTGAGATGCGTCTCTCTTGCATTCCAGATTGGGATCTAGTTAAAGTTTTAGAGGTTAAAAAGCAAAACCTTAAAAAAAAGTAAGAACGATACGGAGAATTTTCCAAGTAGAAAACAAGAACAACGAAGGAACAAAGGAACTCTTTAATAAGGAAAAGAAGTCACTAAACTCTGAGTTTCTTGCGAGCAAGCAAATGTCTTAATCTTCTTTATTTTCCCACTTAAGGCCCCAATTAGCTTAAGGTTTGGCATAAAGCAGGGGCCCCAGAAATTTTCATTGAATACAGAGATTAAAAAATTGTAATACTAATAAGTCTCAAATAAGCACTCTCAAACTATTTATTGATCCTTTATTCTTTAAGAGTCATTACTGGCAATAAAAATAGATCGACAGTCAAAATTTGAAGGTTTTTCCTCCTCAAAATGGTCCAGGTTAATGACTGTAGTCGAAAAGTGATGAAGCAAAATGCTGTATACTTAAGTTGTTGCCAATATATTTTTCAGTTTTAAATATAGGATAACTGCATTGAATTCTTATGGGGGAAAAGGCAATTTTAAAAATTAGAATAGTGTAACTTATAATTAGTCACATATTCTTTTTTGATTGCATTCACTAAAAGATTAAGTAAACTCTTATGGATCCTTCTCTAACTCAGAAGTCTTAAGGACCAATGTCAACAGTCTCCCTTTTCAACTTTGCAATTCCATTTTCCCCATAGCACTGATTTTAAGACTACTAGCAGGATGAATGATTTGCCTCAAGGTTTGGCTGATGTTGACGTCTGGTAATTGAGGTAAGGCCAATGCCAAATTGCTAAATAAAATATTTACAGGTCAATGAATTTCTAGAACACCATTTGCAAGCTTTCAGGAAGGATGAAGAAATATATCCTGATGGTTGTGCCAATGAGGCAATGAAGTAATTATTGAGAAGAAATGGTTAAATCCCCATCTGTTAGGTTAGTTCTGAAGGCTGGAAAGAATGAAGCTCTTGGGGAAGTGCTCTCAACACAGTTCTGCAAAGGACAAGTGAACCATTACACTCTCTTTTGCCTTCAAGTGCAACAGGATATCACTATAAACTGAGAGGTAGGACAGAGATCATTATTCTGTACATGGTGCCCAGGGAAGGGAAGGTGGAAATTACTGCCTAATGAGACACTTACTCCTCTGACAAGTGGTGCCGCGGAAGCCTGGTGCACACTCGCAGATGCCATCGTCAGGGGAGCACGAAGCCCCATTTTTACAGTAGCAGGGTAGGGAGCAGTTGGGGCCCCAGCGTCCCTCAGCACACACGCTGTCACAGTGGACACCTGTAATAATGCACATGGGGCAAGGCTGAGTGAGAGGCGGTGTGGAACTTCCGCAGATAATAATTCAAAGATGAGGACTAAGCTCACAGTACTAAACCTGAGGATCACGAGCAGCAATGAATGGTGAGTTATCACCTTATACACATCAGTACACAGTATCATCATAACATTAAAATAATACCCAGAACAATTTTCTATGGAGTCACGAAGAAGGAATAGCACACTTTTGTTATACTGATTTTTATTCTTCAGGAGGAGGGAGCAAAGTGGAAGCCCAAGGGCTCTGTCTATTGCAAGTAAAATTTATCAACAATCCGATATATTTTAGCCTTGGTGACTTCCTCCTCCTCCTTCCATTGTTTGTTTTCATAGAGAAATAAAGTGTAAAAGGATAAGGCAATGCACAGTTCCATAAAATGTTTTACATAAAGAAAACCCTCCCCTGTTTTAAACAAATAAACATAATCTTAAAATAACTTGATGGTGCATTGTGCAGAACAGAAAGATGTACTGACACGTGCCACCAAATTCCTCCTTAAAAATCTTATCTGACATTGGAGAGATATTGGCAGAATATCACAACTGACATTATTTGTAGCTGTTGCCTATGCTATCAATTATTATGAAACTGTATGCAGGTCTTTAACTCTCATTTTAAGTATTGAGAAACTTTAGAATTAACAACAACAACAACAAAAATGCCAAAAGGAAACAGAGAGGAAAGCCAAGCTTGCAAAAATATATCTAAAACCAGGTTTTATTTGAGATAAATAAAAGTCTCTTCTGTATATTCATACTGGAAATACAATAGGGGCCTCTTTCTTGCCAGAATTCTTCACAACTCAAAGAAATCCTCTTCACATTGAAAGGCAATAAGTAATAATTAGTAGTGAACTGGCAGTTGCTGGCCTCAGAGCAAATGAAAACACATTAAGAGCAAGCACACACACCCTCCCGGATTCCAGAATACTAACAGCCACCCAGCACCACTATGCTGAGACGGTCATGTCTTGTGTTACAGTTCTGACTTCTAAAGTAATCAGGCAAAAAGTCACCACAGTCTGAACCTTAATATGGAAGCAGTCCCAAACTATAACATGAACGTTGCTAATTGGTACGCCATTTCCGGTGAACACCGGAATAGCAGAATAGCAAGAAGATCCACTGTTTACTCTTTCTGTTTTTTCCTTCTGAAAGTCTCCCACACGGTAAAGGCCATTAAGCAGCAAGAAAGCACGCAGACCTCATTGTGTCTAGCTTGACTTTGATTTCATTTGGACCGTGGGCTGAAGAAAGGAAACCAGGTCTGTTCATAAACCAATTGGAGTTTACATATTTCCCACAGAATAAAATATGAAATCTGGGCCTACTACGTTGATTTTTTCCTTGCAATCATGAATATATTATCTTTTTTTTTTTTTTCAAATCTCTTTTGAAAAACTGAGATGAAATTGCAAACTCTACCCTCCCCAAACGTGATACATCAGCCACAGAATCTTACCTGGAATTTATATCCACACCTATACTAGGCAGAAGCATCAAACATATTAAGCAGTAAACTACTTCAAAATAAGTCTGCAAACCTAAACTTTGTTTTGTGAATTTAAAGAAAGTACCAACAAGGGTAACCTGCTAAATGCTTCACTCTCAATTCAAATTCAGGTCCTAGACTCTGACCGTGAGCCAAGACTCCTGCTTAACAACAGCTAAGATGGGGACACCTGTTTATCACAGAGACTTAGACAACCAATCCAGGGCATTTTGGTCTGGAGCCATCAAGGCAAATCCCAGTGAAGATTTCGAAGAAGTGGAAGCTGAGTAATTATCTGGTTAATCTGACTGATCATCATCCTGAAAAATTAGTCCTGATTTTTTATGCTTTTTTGTTAGGGTGGGGACTTGGGGGAGACATAAGATTTAGCCATTTATGATGACTTAGTTTATCAACTATTTGCCAAATCACTACTTCAAATTACACTTAATAAATTCAGTTAAGATGGAATGGAGTACACTTTAAGTCAAAAGTATATGCTGCTTTTTTATAACATAGGTTATCATGATTTACGTATAGCTTAGCCCATTCTCAATCTGAGCATGTTAAGAAAAACGACTACAGGCCAGATAGGCAAATCTGAGTAAAGAGATCCTTTCTTTCATAACTGATTCCTCTTCCCTTAAGAGGTTTGTTTAGCTGATTAGCCTAGCCATCAGTCATAATCAACTATATCCTGGTAATGTTTGTATAAGTAACAAGGCCCACCCTATAGCAAGAAGATCCACTGCAGACATAAGCTTGTTTCATATGGTTTACCCATCATTTCATTTCCAGAGAATCATAGCAAAGTCTATAGATCATTGATCAAACCTTCTGTGTCCAATCATATAAGCATCTTTCAACTGTCTCAAGCTTACTTGAAAATAACTTTTATCTTAGAATTGCAAAGAAATGTTTCCTTTGAATATAAATTATAAAAATTCTATTACCAACCCCCTCCTAAAAAATTCAAGTCCTTTTATTTTACTCTATCATCAGTAAAAAATGAGTCAGCATTTTGCAGATACTAATGCCTAATCTATGTGAAGATAAATATCAAATATGTCTCAGTTAGGGAGCAATTCCAGGGAAAGGTGTGGAGTTCTCTTTCCTCCTCTTGCTGCACCCTCTTCTCCTATTGCTGCTTCTGCCCTTCTGGTCCTCTGTGCCCTCCTGGTTATTTTTCCCTTCATCTTACAGTCAGAAAAGGACAAGATACATTTATTATTGGTGAGTAGTACCTTCTCTGGAGAATATTGATATTCTAAGACAGCATGCATTCTAAGAGCCTAAGAAATAAATATCTAATTGTGGAATTTCGGGCAGTAAGTATCATGAAGAGAGTGTTGGGTAACTGTTTCTCTAAGTCGCACCAGGTATATGACTGCTGATGTGACTTCCATGTAAGGATAATCCTGAAATGAAATATTCTCCAGGATGAAGAGTTGTAAATTTTGCTTTAACCACTATTTCTGTCTCTGTGTGTGTACATGTGTATTATTTATATTTATCTCCACTTATTTTCTGCCAACTTTGCTAGAGTCCTACAAAACATCTTTTTGTTTCCTTGTTTATCAAAGGCAGAAAAGGAAACCCAACTCAGCAAACATTCAAGGGATCTGGCCAGCTACTGGCTTGCTGGTGAGAAGTTTTCTTAAAAATGTAACTCCAGGGTGATAATGACTACAGAACAGGCACACCCCGCTCTGCCTGGGGAGCATGATCAGGAACAGAGGTAGCTTGTGAAGGGAGAAGAGGACTGTAGGCTAAAGGAACAGTGGCTGCAAGGCTCAGAAGCCCAAAGAAGTGTCTGTCCTTTGGGAATTGCAAGTGCTGGGTACAGCTGAAACTCAGGGGCTGGGGAGAGCAGGTGAGGTATCTGGGCAGCCAAGCGGTGGCCACATTGAGTTGAGCCAACAGTGCCATGCTATAGAGTGTGAACCTCCCGCTGGTGTTAACAGGGACCAAATGAACAATTTTAAGAAGGAAGGAGCATAACTAAATTTGCGCTTTATAGGAGGACAGAAGATGGCCTGAAGATGTTGAGCCTGGGAAGAAAGAAAACCTGTCAGGTGCTCTTTTACCTGGGGAACCCCAAATGGGGGTAAAAAAATATGATCAAAGTGACAAGGCATGAACCTAAGTCAATGTCAGCACAGATGCAGGGGAAGATGAATTCTGGAGAGATATAGAAGAAAATGCAGATGATGACTCCCCTCCAATTCTCCACCAAAGGTAATTAATTCTGGCAGCTCCCTGAGGGAGAGACAATGCCTGTTTTTGCTCACCATAGCACCTAGCACATGGGAGGTGTTAAATAAATATTTGTTGAATGAATCAATAAGCATAATTCCTCTTTCCTATATGATATTCAGGACCACTTTCCAATGGGATGGAGCAACCACATCATTCTTTGCTTTCCTGAATAAGTCTTCACTCAAACCAGGAAGCCCAGCATATTTATAGGTTATGACCCTTCCCTGCTAAGGAGGTGGAGATGTCTGCCTTGCTTATTTTTGAGCAAATATGCATTTGGGGGCTCAGGTCTGTGTTTTTACATGTAAGCCCAGATTATTAGGCCATAAAAGAATTATATGACATCTTACGGAAATTCCTTCAGAAGTTTTAGCAAAAAATAGATAAAAACTTGAATAGTTCAGGAAACAACTTCCTAAAATATTGGGAAGAAGGGGCAAAATGGGAAGGGGGTAGGTTTAAATCTGCAGCCATCTCTGGTTCAATGGGAGCATTTCTCTTCTGATAAATGTACTAATGCTGATAAGGAGATCTGTAAGGGACTGTTTTTGCCAGGACTGAGGACAAAGAGCTCTTTGATAGCCTTCACAAGTTGCTAGGCAATGGCTGAATGATCGTGATAAACTTCAGCTAAGCAGCTCTAAAGAAATGTTCGTGCAATTAATGCCTGATGCATTATGCCAGCGGCCTCAATGTGAAATCAGCATTCACTGGGCATTTGTGATTGCATGAATGCAGTAAATAAATCATCTGGGGTGTCATTCTTTCCCCTCTCATAGATATAACCCCAAATCCTTGTCTTACTTAATTGCTTATATTCCTTATGCCAGTATTCCAATATTTGGTGCAATAGTGAATGAAGAAAATTATTTTGATTCAATGTCTAACTCCTGGGCAACAAGCTATTAAACGTATATTAGAGCAAAGAGAGATATTTGTTAATAATAACTGGGCTTGGTAATTATAAGATGGAGGAAATACAGTATTTAGTCACAACACGTTTTCTGCTTTTCTAATCCTTTGACCAACAAAGCAGTGATAGTATAGTGTAGTGTAGTGTAGTGTAGTGTAGTGTAGTGTAGTGTAGTGTAGTGTGGTGTGGTGTAGTATAGAGAAGTTATTCACTAGTATATCCATCTCTGCCGATACAGTGTCTGTCTTGATGCAATGTGAGCTTCTGCAGGATGGGAGTTGGCATCACTTCCTCTCC